AAAGGAAATTCAAAGTAAGTCACAGTTTGACAAATTATTGTTATTATTGACAAGGGCACAATCTGTTAATGACATAAAACATCATTGCCGCTGTGCCTTTTCATCAAAAAATTGTGGAAGAGAACTTTTTTGATATCAAAAATTTTCGTAATTTCAAGCAAAGATCGTAATTTTTCTTTTTGAATGCTTAAGTATTCCAATAGGCTGCCAATCCAACGTGGGATTTTTTTCAAAATAATGCAACAAAGTTGAAATTCGATCTTCAACTGTTCATACCTTCTAGAAATTTTCGAAAAAAAAATGTCAATATTTGTCTGGTACTCCCCAAGGGAGCCTCTATCACCCCTTAAAAGGAATGACGCCAATTCTGAATCGCCCTGTATGGAAAAAGCGCAGAAAAAACGGTGCTTGTTCGCAATAACATATAATTAGTTCATTAAATGCAATTTTATGCAAGCCACGTATACTTATCGTTGAAAATGATATTGATTAAAACATATTTGTCGGTTTTGGTCAGCAGTCCCGAGTGCAAAAATGTAACTCTTCTCCACTTGCATGAATCTGTCAAATAAGCTTTGCAATCGGTTTCACATTCAGTACACTTACACTCGCATAAATATAAAAAATTTGGTTGCAGGATCAATCCAGGTGCCTTTTATGGGTTTTAGGTGACACTGGCACAGTTACCTTGCCAGACGGTTTAATCACCAGCGGCTTAAACGACTTGATAGGCTGCGCCTTGTACTCAGTTTCCTTTCGCAATCTTAACGCTTCTTCCTGCTGCATTAGCAGCTCTTTTTCCTCTTGCTTTCTCCTCAGTCTGGCTATATGTTCCTCCTTGAGCCGTTTTTGCATTTCAAACCGCTCTCGCTCCTGGCGACGCTGCTCGCTTTCTAAGTGGAAAGGTACGGGCTCAGTTGGGGGCTTTCCGGCTGGCAGCGGAACAAATGGTTCCTTCCGCAGTACAGTGGCTGGTCTTGCTCGGAATTCGCTGCAGCGCGTTTCCGTGCTTGACTGCTTAAAATTGGTATCAATGTATTTATGAAATACTCAAACAACATTTGTATAATTACGTCGCAGGGTTTGCAAGAGTCTGTACTGCTTGCAGAGTTACGCCTTAAACCATCCGATTTCTTGTAGATCGCCTTGGGCACAGGTTTTGCATAAAACTCTCGAGCCCTCTTCTCTTCGTCTAAAATCTGCAATACATAGTTAACATTAATTGGTTGTAGTTCAAAACCGTGAAAAATGTAATATTTTCAAAACATCTTGCCCACGGCAATGCGCCTTCAGATATCGCTATCTCCTGTTGCTCATACTTTTTGAATGTATTGGTCCCTTTTTGTCTGCACCAGTTTGTCCCTTCGCTCAAAGCTGAAGGGCATGGGCACGGTTTTTTCCAATGGTTTCTGTTGTAGGCTTTTGACCGAGGAATGACGCTGCATAGAGTTGCAATTTTTCAAAGACTGGACGATGGCCGGCCGAGGTTGAGGAGCGTCCTGTGGAGTTTTCGGTTTTGGCGCTGGGCGGGCATGGAATATGAACGTTGGTGACGATGGCACTACCTAACATTGATGCATTAAAATAAATTGATGCGCTTCTCATCGTTGATAAATCACCTTTTTGGCCGGCACTTGAGTAATGTTGAAAGGCTGGAGCACGGTATGTGGTCGCTTTTCAACTGGAAGTTGGGGCTTAATTGGGCCTTGCAGGATTTTCTTGTTGACAGGGCGGGCTTTTATCTTAAACCTGCAAATAGAAGCGTTTGAATTAATGTAGAGAATAGTTGAAATCTGAAATAATAAAGCAGTACGCAAAAAACTGCTGAAAACGTCCGAGTTATGTGACAACATACTTGCGAATATTCTCAAACTCAGTTAACTCTCTTTCCATGGTCGACTGTATATTTCCAGTTGGTCGACTACGGGCCTTCGTTTGCAGATATGGACTTTGCGCGTATGTCCTGCAAATAAAAAAACACACACAGAATGTTGATAGATCTCAAATTAGCCGCCAACTTACAGTTGCAATGAACCGATGTTGTGAAGATCCGATTCAACGGAACCGTTGGGTTTACTTCGGAATCGGACGGGCGTGCGAGTTTGGAACTGGTGAACAGCTTCGGCAAAGGAAACATATTTATCAGAGTCTGACTTCGCCAGTTTCTCAGCAGATTGGTATCGTTTGTTGTCAGCAGGACGTTGCAAATTGCTCTGAAATATCAGAATGAAGTCGATTATGAACTATAAATCGCAAATTAAAGACACAGTTGGGAAAGATCGAATTTTTTGAGTGATTTGCAAGGTCAAAGTAAAATAGTAGCCCTATTTAAAGTTTAGTAAATACAAATAGAACAGTATTGAAGCCTACCAAACCGTGTCTTGGGAGCGTGGCACTGCCTTTCGTGTAGTGACTTTGTTGATCAGTCGAATTACCTTGCTCCATGTGTAGGTTATTAATATCCTCTCTGAAACGGAGAAAAAATCATTCGCTGAACTTTTAACCACTTGCATCCGTTTTTGTAATTGTAAAGGTAATTCTTACCTGACCCTTTCCACAGTGCTAGTTTCTTCTTCTCCTCTATCTTCAGTTTCAGAGAACATTATGAGATTTCCAACACTCATCGATCTACGCATTTCTACAGTTTCGCATTCGCCAAAATCTGGAAAATAACTGTGCATAGAGTAAATCTGTAATAAAATGCAGTTCGTAATTGTCTCCAAGCAGTACTGAGCTTATAAGTACAATCTATAGATTGTACATCCTATAGCAAGGAATGTATTTTTACCAAAATGGTTGTGCCGCTTCCAAAATTCTTACTTTTACAATTATACTTATAAGTTTGATTCATTGACTTACCATACATGAGGTTTGGTGAAAAATACATTGACTTTTCGTCGAGCCTCGACGAATACCTTACATCTGGCTGAACATTTGGAGGGTTATTCTCATTATTTATGCCTGAAAACCACACCAACACTGAATTAATATAACATTTTACGTGCAATTATTGTTAGAAGTATTTCAAACTGGCGTTTAGTAACTAACTAATCCACTACCATTTTCTGAACCTATTAATGTGTGCCCTGTAAAACGTTTATACACATGTAAAAAAGCTAAAAAAAAGGACATACTGAAATACTGGTCTACATTCTCATTGAAGTCATCCGAGTCATTGGTAAAGCTCACGTTGGTTGGGACATTGAATACAAAAGCAGAATCGTCTGCCATAATGTGACTTGGCTGCGATGCAAATTCTTAATAATATACTAATAGTTCAATATTAAAAGGATTAAAGTAATAAGAAATAATAGTTCAGCTAGCAACAAGCAAGCAATCACAATACTGTGCACACTATCTAACGAACATCACATTCAAAATACTGTCCAATTGGGATGACACGAAATACTTGTCACAGATACTTTGGAACAGATATCGATATCGAGTAGCCGGTACCTGTTATCGATATTTAAAATAACAACATAACGCAGAACAGGGCTCGCGTACGATGCATGATACAATGAATACATTCAGTATACTGTGTATATTCATTGTATCATGCCTACGATGTTGGTCCAAGCACCAGTACACCAGTGTGTTGATGTAAAACATCTACAACCAATTAGGTTAATTCAAAACTTAAAGCTTATGAGTTTTCTTTTAATTTTTGTAGGACGTAAATCCACCCAATAGGCAAAGTCACATTTCGATAGGTTACACATTTGTTCACATATATGTTATCTAAAAAGGGTTTTTGCCAGATTGTAAATATTTCTTTTTGAGACGTCGGAGAGACTTCTCTGAGGCTGTATTTTGCTCGTAAAGAGTTATACAACAACGTACAATAAAGGAAAATTTCATGGCTGTGTAACCATCACAAAAAGTGAAGTACGATTTTTTTTAAGCAAAACTAAATTCATTATAGAAATTAAAAAAAAACGTTAAAATCGAAGGACTTTTTCGATTTTCGAGTAAACAAATGAACGGATTTTAATCTAGTTTATCTCATTATAGATATTTTTGATAATACCTTTTTTAAAAGTTATGCGTAAAAAACTTTTTTTTCGCACTTTCTATAAAAAAACGATTTTCGCACTTTCTATAATTATTTAAACAATGTTCCACACCCGAAAATCGAGCACAAACTATTGTCTCAATATTCTGACATCCTTCCAAACAACTTCCATCTTTTACCTACATATTTTGAGTGCCCGAAACAGGCCAGTCTAATCTAACTGGACTAAGATAGAGGAGGAAATAAGATTCCGCCCGGGTTCAGGCAAAAATAACATGTGCAAAAAGTCACAGATACTTGGAACAGGCACACATGGAACCTGTGCTGAAAATACTGATTTGTATCATCCCTAGTCTTTATCTATGGTCCGTCAGTCTGTCAAAGTAATTTTGACATATGTCAATTTTTGAAAACACGAGTATGCGCGCCTATCGACATAAAGTATTTATTCACGAATTATATATAATTCGAATCTATTTAATATGTTATTAATAGTGTAGCGACCTAGGGTTGGAGAGACGGCATCGGCGCCCGACAGTCCGCCAACTCGAAGAGAGGAAGAGGAGTCAGTGGTTCGCGTCTGGCGAAAAACGCACGTTATCAATTCGTTGTAATCTAATTCGTTGTAATCTTCTGGAAAAACGAACTCTATTGTTTGTGGTGTATCAAAAACCCACAGTAGTTTCGAACAAAAAATTAATGCAAATTTTTGTCTTAATTATTAGCTTTTACATACTGGTTTACTTCGACTAATTTTTATTTAGATCTGCGCAATAAACTTGAAAAACGAAGATTAACATTTTGAATATAAAACTAACTTAGTTTTACTAGATAACTAAGTCAGTTTTATATTCACAGATTAGAACAGATTTCTAACCACAGAATATTTCCCCTGCGGGGATGTTCTGTGCATAGATAAAGACGAGTAAAGACGTAGGTTCTGTGATTCTAACCTACTTTTCACCTACTGACTTTTTTTTAATTTATCTATGATTCTAACACTATATTAGCCGGGTTAAAACTCGGTTGTACATATCGGTGTTCATAGAACATTCCATTCCAGGAGGATGTTCTGGATCTGTGTTCGACGATGTTAGATATGGTCAGATTTTCAACAGATGAAATAATCGCATTTGCCATGTAACTATGGACAAGCTTATCCAGCGGTTTTTTTCTGGTCTGCCAGTCAGCAGCTTAAACTTCCCGAGCGAAGTAAGTTGTCTCCATCTAAATGAACACAATGGTTACTCAATAATTGTTTTCTAGGCATTAAGTTTGGAGGGCCAGATGACTCTTTTAAATGCGACAGTAAACAGCGATTTGGTTCTCAAGCAACCACTAAGATACCAATATCAGAAGGCCTTTCTCAAACGTCTTCTCAATCAGCTGGAATCGCTTGATCTGGTCGTGTTCGAAGGGCTGTACTCTGCATATGTAAGACTGGTGCAGATGCCCCATCAACTTGGCTCCAAGAGTTTCAATCATTATAGGGTGGGAAGTGGAGGTGATGTCGTCACACTGATTGAAGACGAGAACTTAATTTCTCAAGGCACTACTGGATTAAGAACATGGACGGTTGTTTTTCTCAGATTGCTATGTAGCAACTGACAACTCCAAGTTTTATCTGTTTAAGGGTGCTTTGGCTTTAAGCGAATGGTGTTTGAACAACAAAGACCTCATAACAAACAAGACCATTCTGGAACTGGGATCCGGAGTGGGACTAACAGGTCTTGTTGCATGTCGACATTGCCATCCGCAACGGTTCTGCTTCAGTGACGGCCATCCCGAGGTTGTAAAGACCTTGGCTGAGAATATTAAACTGAATTTTCCCACGGCCAGTGCAGTTCCAAGCTCCAAGTTACGACTAGATCTAGAAATTGACAAAACAACAAGGGTTTCGCTGATGAACTTGTCCTGGGACAATATTGATTGCACCGCTATAGCAGCGCTGGGCAAAATCGACTTTGTGTTGGCAGCAGATGTGGTGTACGATCCCGAGCTATTTCAGCATCTATTGAACGCACTGAAGATGGCTGACGGAGAGTGCAACATTTTTGCTTGCACTGAAAGAAATCCAGATACCTTGAATCTGTTCTTGAAAGAAGCTGGTGAGTTTTTTCTTAGGAGATGCTGGAGCAGACATTAATTATCAATTTCTGCAAATTTTAGTGCATTCGTTTAGGTGTATAGAGCTGTCATGTCCTGAACAGAAAAACTTTACTTGGGAGCCGGTTCCTTTAGTTAGGATTTTTCAGTTTCAACGGAAATCCAATTGACCGCAAAACACTTGTATAGTTCCAGTTTCAGTAATCAATGTGGATTATATGTTTGGGTTTACAAGCATATATCCAGTTCTTCCTTAATTCCATGTGCGCGTCGGTTGAACAACTGCTGAAAAGGAAAGGATTAAGCGTGCCTTTATCAGAAAATCATTGGGAAGCATTTTGTGTTTTGTACCATTGTTTTGGAATGCCTTTATTTGGCACTCAAAGTGGACGGTATTTATTTTATAATTATAATGATGACCACTGGGTGTTTTTTACGATACTTTATTTATGCCTTTTTATATTAAAATTTTATTAGATTATAATCGAGTCTCTATCAACAACAACTTTTTTGTTTACAAACAACAACCGTTGCTACTGGTATCTCGAGCTTCAATTATTTACAGTCTATTCTCAATTATTTTAACAGCACTAACGATTAACAATTCCTTAACAACCATTGGATTAATAAAATTTTGCAATAGAGCAACAGACTATAAATATTTTGCTAATAACTCCTTTGCGCTCACATTTTAATTGTGACTAACGACCATAGAGTAAGTAAAATTATTACTTTCTCTATGCTAACGACCATAGATGAAGACAAGTAGCTAACGACTTCCGGTTTGTCTGTCTTTGCGAACGAACTATAAAGTAGTTTACATTTGAGCTGGCAATTTGCCCAACACCGCAAAGGAAGAAGAAGAAGTAGTTTACATTTTCAACATAACCGATGTTCTTTGAATTGGATGTTACTTTTTTTATTTTGCCATTATCCGATTGATAATTTGAAATGAATTTGGAACTTTTAGGTAAGTGCGTAATGCGTTTGCTCCAATCGAGTAGTTTCTTGGTACAGAGCATCGTGTTGTACGCCCATTACCAATAATTACCCGTAACTTTCCAGAATCATTTGGTCAGAACTATCCCGAGGTAAGCCACAACACAGCCAAATTCAAGTATTAGCGATTAAGAAACATTGCACGGTCTCTAGGAATTCGATGGCACTCTGGACTCTCTATCCATTGCGCTCACCTGTGCTTTTAACAAGCGGGGAACCCTGCTTGCTGTCGGCTGCAATGATGGGCGAATAGTCGTTTGGGACTTTCTTACGCGTGGAATTGCAAAGATTATATCAGGTAGGAGTGGTGATCTGGCATCTAGAGCGTGTTCATTGAACTGAACGTTTGGCACAGCCCATGTGCATCCAGTGTGTAGTATTAGCTGGTCGAGAAACAGCTACAAACTAGCGTCAGCTTCTACCGATAATACTGTGTGCATTTGGGATGTTTTAACTGGAGAATGTGAACAGAAATACAGGTGAGAACTAATGCGGTACTGGCCGAACAAACTTTTTGTACTGGAACATATTTTGATAGGTTTCCGTGTCCCGTGCTAAAAGTGCAATTTGAGCCAAGAAAACTGGAGAGGCTGTTGGTGTGTCCGATGAAACATGCGCCCATTCTTATAGACACAACTGGTCGACATCAAGTGCTGCCTATCGACGAGGATGTAAGCAATTTGCCTGAGAAGAACTGGCATGTTCTTTAACTGGCCGTTGTAGGGCGACCTTAATATTGCTGCCTCCTTTGACCGGAGGGGCGACTATGTGTACACTGGTAACGCCAAAGGCAAAGTATTGGTTCTGGACACCAGAACGCTAGAAGTAAGGGCGAGCTTTCGCATAGTACTGGGCTCATCCAGTGCCACTGCAGTGAGGAGCATTGAGTTTGCTCGAAGGGGCGAGTAAGTAAAGGAAGCAAGTTATTCTTTGCGTATTAAAATGGTGGCGCGTTTTCAGTAACTTTTTAATCAACACAGCAGATAGGGTCATTCGGGTATACGATAGCAAGGAGGTCTTGACTTACGGCAAAGATGGGGAGCCTGAGCCTATCCAAAAGCTTCAAGACTTAGTTAACAAGTAAGTGTTCTTGTCGTATTTAAAATTCTGCTCGTTTAAAGCTTTAAGCGGGTTGTCACGGAAGGGTAAGATAATAGGTAATAGTTTAGGGCATATTATATCTTGTTTTGTGCAGAACGATGTGGAAAAAATGCTGCTTCTCTGGCGACGGCGAGTATATTTGTGCAGGCTCTGCTCGACAACACGCTCTTTATATCTGGGAAAAGTCCATCGGAAATCTAGTGAAAATCTTGCATGGAACCAAGGGAGAACTTTTGGTGGATGTAGCCTGGCATCCAGTGCGCCCAATCATCGCCAGTATATCATCAGGTAAGTGAAAAGAGTTCTAGGGAACTAAGCAAATTATCAGTTCTGATCAGGCGTTGTGAGTGTATGGGCGCAGAACCAAGTGGAGAACTGGTCCGCTTTCGCACCCGACTTTAAAGAGCTGGACGAAAACGTGGAATATGAGGAAAGGGAGAGCGAGTTCGACATTGATGACGAGGACAAATCGGTAGCGAGCGGCGGTGATGCGAAAGAAGATACGGACTTGGAGGTTTTCTACTTACAAACATGTCCGATTGACTTTCGCCAACTAAGTATTAATGTTTTAGGTCGATGTTTGTCAAGTGGAGAAAGTGGCCGCGTTTTGTAGTAGCGATGAAGAAAACGAGAACAACGACTGCCTTCAGTTCCTGCCCATCGCTCCGGAGGTATTCATTACTTCGCTGAGTTTGTTTTCTGGTTTTTTAATTTGCTGTCTGTTTCAGATCGAAGATCCAGAAGACAACTGGACACCCACTGATACGAACATCACAGCCTCTAACACGAGCACGATGCCGGAGCCAGCTAAAAAAAAAAAGTACAAAACTTACGATATTGCCCTGGAAAACGTGGCTGAAGGAGGTAATTTTGGCAGTAAATGAATGACCAAAGTAGAGTTAGCTAGACCAGACATGCCATAGTTCTATACTAAGCATAGCAAGGACAATTTAAGTTTTTCAGGTTTTTTCATTTATGATCTGTTAAGGCTAGTTACAAAACAAAAATACTGATTGTTGTTGAGGAGGCCTCAAGCCTTCGCTAATGAGCCTGTATTGTGCTACAAGTATGTACTAGTTTGTACTTCCCACCCAGAAACAGAATTTTTAGTTTATTTCGTAATGTTTCCTAAGTGCCTGTGACTACATATTTCCACGTGTAACGACAGTTTATTTCTTTCTGAAATTTGGAACCAATTCTCTTGCACGCCTGGACTCTGTCCATTGTACTGAATAAATATTTTTTTTATATTTTTGCCTGTTTTCATTTTATTTTGGGTGCTGTTACGTGACTGGTAGTTTACACCGTTAATTAATGTGTTGCAGCCTTTGGATGAGAAAAGAGGAATGGACAACCCTTCACTTAAAGCATGAAGACATATTCCTTAGTTAGTGGTGGTGCATGCAAGATCTGTTATAAAGTAAAGTATTTTTTCCAGAAGTACACCCATTGGTAAGCAATAAGTCTAAGGATAAACACGGCGCAGTCTTAAAGAAAGCAGGAAGGCCTAAGAAATAGCTTGATGTGTATAAAAAAATGCCCGTCATTTATTTTTCCATCATATGTATATTTGTTTCCAATCTTACTTGCAAGTAAGACTTAATTTAGTTATGAAAAGACGCTTTTCCAATGAGGGCATTAATATTAAATTTTGAAGCATAAAGTGTGACTCTTGAACGCTATGTACCTTTTCTCTGCCATGATATGGTAATTAAAGCGATTTTTTCTGAAAAGAATGTATTCACCAGAGCAGAATTATTTCACAGTGTAAAAAAAGATAACAAAACATCCTTAGGGTACCTAAACATCAACATAAGGTAACTACTTCTAAATATAGTGAAAACTTAGAATTTGTACTAGCTTGCTTGCTATCAAGTCAGAGGAAACTTGCCAGGATTGTTTGAAGCATTTCATTACAAGTAAATATCCAGCATAAATGTTTTCCACCCCGCTTGACCCGAAACCGCTCGAGGTGTTGATCGTTTCAACCAAGAACGATCTTTCGGGCTTTGTTAAAAGTCAAGGTAATTTGGAAAACAACTTTAATCAACATCCAGACATTCGTTTGCCTCGCAAGCCTTTGCATCAACGTGTGCCCCTAACCTATCAGAACACCCACTCCGAGTCTAAAATTGTTCTTCTGGTGATTCATAAGTCCGCTAAGGGCCAGGTTGAAAGGCAGAGGACTGAGTTTCTTTTCTAGCACAGCACCTACCGACCAATTCGAGTCTATGTGACCTGGAAGGATAACAATCAACCCATGAAAGCCTAAAACAACTAACGGAGAATTGTACCTTTAAAAACCATCTCACTCCTAGGCAGATCCACTTGGTACGCGATTGAGGCTACCGATTCCTGAGTTCGGTTGTTCGTTTCCAATTCCACTCCGATCTGCAGCTGTTTGCTGGCTTTTTGGTAATAACATAAATGCACACCTGATAATCCTAGGGTACCGGATATCTGATAGTTTTCAGTGGAGTACCTGCAACGATCTGTTGTAAAAACAATTCCTTACTTTCGAAAGTATTGAATCTTACTTTGCTGCTGCACTGAGCAGCGCAATTTCCCCACCGGGTAGGTTGGGACCCTTCTGGTAAGCCAGTTCGGACCCCAGAGCAAGTCGGGGTGTAACAGCCTGCAAATAGTGCAAAACCACCACTCCAGTACTATTAATAATATCTGGATTGGCCATCGTCAAGCTGGCCGTATAGTCATTGCCCCTGTAGTTCAACGTCAATTGTCCCACTTGAAATTTGGAGTTTTGCACTTGGGCTCCAAACTTGGCCTGCAGCTGAGGTTGTAACTGATGTACAATAGTCGCGTTCAGGTTGCCCGTAGGGTCGATATCCCCGAGCAAAATTGGGAAAGATTCATTGGGCGAGATTTGTTTTGTGCCTACATAGGTGGCTCCAAACCTGTACCCACTAGGAGTTACAGAGCTCATGTTCAGACTGTGCGATATTTGAAAATGGTTGCTCAGACCTCTAGTGAGCATTATCCGGGCCCCTTCAAAGCACGTGGGAAATACACCTAACAGAAGCGTTTAGAAAGTTCTAAGCAAAGAGGTACGTATAGGTTAAGGCTACTTACTTTTGCACTTTGTGTGGATATCCTCCAAAGGGCCAGGATTTTCTGGGGCTCCATTTGTTGGGCTCTTCACCTCGGCAGCTTTCTCCGCGGTGAAAACCGCTCCTGGAGCTTGGGGCGGCGGGGGAGCCGAATAAGCTGCCTGAACATTTCCCATGTCTTCAAATCGGCAAATGCAGTGACAGGTGACAGAGTGGAAACGTCAAGATCACGGCCATCTGACCTTATGATACAATGAATACAAGGTAGGATTTTGCGTCGATTTGCGTGACGTCAGTGGAAATCACTGCCGGGCGTGCTTTTTTCCTGTCTGCTAAATGTGATTAAATATAGCTTATTTAGTCTTTGTAACATTTAATTATTTTTTTATAAATCCTCCTTATAATTACAAGATGCTTTGCAGCAGATTTTAGACTTGTAAATTAAAAGTAACGAAAATTTATTTATTTTGCACACTACCACAGTTACCAGTTGTGCAATAAAGTATAGCGTTTGCTGAAAATGTATCCTTGCAGAAATAGTACATTACGATTCACGAGACGGAAGTTCAAACAATGACCCAATGTTACTTTATTATTACTTACGATGGAATATGCGGTTTGTTGTGCCGCGGATAATACGTAAATTTTAATACAAATGAAATGACTGCACACCGCATTTTTTACATTTCTGAACCGACACATAAAAGTAGCAAACAATCTATAGTACACTTTCCAACTCCCAAACGCAAAATGCTCAGTTTTGTCTACAAAATTCCCGAACATACCCAAACGCATTGACCCCATGATGCAATGAATTCATTGTGATACAATTAATTCATTTCGTTTGGCTCAACCCGATTTCTCAAATGACACTCTGGCAACACAGCACGCTAAAACGCTGAAAATCAGAGATTTTGTAAAGAAATATTTAG